CCCCAAAACCCCAAAACCCCATGAAGCGCAATTAGGCTTAAATTGTTATAAATAGAAGGAAAATAACTTTTTTGGAAAATAACAAAGTTATAAAATTAAAATATCAAATGATAAGTTCAATAAGATTTAAAATTAAATATTAAAAATGAAAAGAAGCAATAATTTTAGATACAAACTCTTCGAGTTTATTAGGTCCTTAGATTAATATGGGCACCCAATAGCTTTTAAATATAAAAATAGCTCAACGTTTAAAACCTCTTTTGGTGGTATTGTTACACTATTCGTGAGATCACTTATTCTCGCCTTTCTAATATCTGAAATTCTAAAGGTAATTGGAAGAAAAATAACTATAACAAGCTCCACATCTTGAAAAGATTTAGTAATTGATTAGAATAAGTTGATCATGAGCTAGTAAGAATTCGATATAGGATTCAAAGTTAGCTTTCCATTTTTGCCTAAGGAAATAAAGAACATTGATCAATATATTCAATTAAGCATTTCGTAGTTAAAGACTAGCTACATTAATGGAATTTACAATTCAGAAGAAATTGAACTACCATTTTCTAAATGTTAAGCAGGATGATTCAAAGGAGAGTTAACTTAGACTGAAACTTTTGACATAAGAAACTAATATAATTGTCCTATTGATTTCAAAACTGCATTTTATGGTCAATTCTCTACTTAATAAGCATCAATGCTTTAAGTATAAGTAAAAAAATGTAATCAAACGAACCTTTCTATCAAGAATAAAAATTTGACCTGTGCTTCACCATCAGAAATCGACTTTGTTGTCAACTACTTAACAATAACCATCTTAATGACTAATTAGTTTATTGATGTTAATTAAAAGTATGGAAATCCAATCAAAACAGTATTAAAACAATTTTTTGCAACAGCACAGTCTGGACTTTCACTATCATATTAATTGAAAATTGGAGAGAATTTTCTTATTTAAAGCACATCTTCAATTTCTAATTTGCTAGGTCAATAAAATTTGACATACTATACAATAACAAATGATTAATTTTAAATAGCAGATATTTAAGACTCAGGTATATTTATAACATGCCAATTGCTTCTTGATGACATTGTAACCACTACTAACTTAGAATTATTTACATTATCAGATGCTCTTTCAAATACTGGAGGTATCATTGGAATTATCTCAATCATCGTTTAAATATTAGTTTCTAGTATATAGCAACACTTCTATTATTAATCTTTGATCAAACAATAATTTCAAATCTCCTCTGATTTACTTGAAAAATAGCACTTAAATGTAAAAATAGGGCAACAAAACTCAGCTAATCTAGAACTATCATCCACTACTTTAGATTAAAATAATGAAAAAGCAATTAAACTTGGAAGCTTAATTGATGACTTAAAAAATTGAGTTCCCTTTGATTACTCCATTCTCTCATTTTATAGAAGCAGAGTAAAATAATGTTTGTGCAAAAGAAAAAATGAAAGAATATTAACTTAAAGTATTTTGTTTATAAAGGCTAAGTAAAAATTAGATGAAAAGTTCGAAGTAATTAGAATTTTGAAGAATTAATAAATGCTAAAATTCATAAAATAGGTATCTCTCGCCAAATACTAAAGAAAACTCATTTCGTATTTCAAACAAAATTTAATCAGAATGAAAGATTCAGTTTAGTAAGATTCAATTTATTAATAAAACGATATTTTTGCTAAGTATGTTACATCTCAAACACATAATAATGAATAGAATTTGAAAACTTGGAATTAACTGACAAAGGAAAAATAAATTAAAACCAAACTATATTTATCTTAGGTAATCTTCAATACGAGTAAAAATGCTATTGACAAAAGAATTCTTAAAAATCTTGATTAAAATGATTCCAATAGATCTAAGAAAGAGATATCGAATGTAATAGCAAAAAAGGCTGTTCTTATGTAACTTAATGAAAAATTAAAATATCAGATTAAAGAGAAGGTAATTTCAAATAATGATCTTATCTG